AAACCCTTTAGGGATGCCCAAAGGAGACTTAATCCAAACATGAAGGAGGTAGTTAAGAAGGAAGTTGTCAAACTTTTGGATGCTAGAATTATTTACCCAATCTCCGATAGCAAATGGGTGAGTCCAACTCAAGTAGTTCCCAAAAAAATCGGGGATTATGGTGGTTGAGAATGCAAAGGGTGAGGAAATCTCTAAGCGTACTGCCAATTCATGGCATGTATGCATTGATTACCGCAAATTGAATGCCGCCACTAGAAAGGATCACTTCCCTTTACCATTCATTTATCAAATTATAGAGAGATTGGCCTGGCAACAATATTATTGCTTCCTTGATGGCTATTCGGGGTACAATCAAGTAGCCCTCGACCCACTAGACCAAGAGAAAACCACCTTTACATGTCCATTCGGCACATTTGCTTATACACGGATGCCTTTTGGTTTGTGCAATACACCCGCCACATTCCAAAAATGTATGATGTCAATTTTCTTAGATATAGTGGAAGAATATCTAGAGGTTTTCATGGATGATTTTTCTGTTTTTGGGTCCTCATTTAATGTATGCCTCAAAAACTTAGGTCTAGTGCTTAAGAGATGTCGTGAAACCAACCTTGTACTTAGCTGGGAAAAGAGCCATTTCATGGTTCAAGAGGGTATTGTGTTGGGTCACATTATCTCAAGGAGAGGAATAGAGGTTGATAAAGCGAAGGTCAAGCATATTTTTGAATTACCTCCACCTTCAACGGTGAGAGAGGTTCACTCCTTTCTAGGTCATGCTGGCTTTTACCGCTGTTTTATCAAAGACTTTAGCAAATTGCTCTACCCTTGTGCAACCTTCTTGCCAATGAAACTCCTTTTGTCTTTGACCAAGCATGCTTAGACGCTTTTCATAAATTACGTGAATTATTATCATCTGCTCCTATCATGCAACCTCCCAATTAGGGTGTAGTAATAAACACTTGATATGTTTTGATATGTTTGGCAATTTCGTGACAAAACCCTAAAACAATTCAGCAATCTCCCCAAGCAGGAAAGTAAATTACATAGAATGTTAAAGAAATTAAGATGTGGAAATTTTCTTGAACCTCATGAAACTTGAACATATGTAGCAACCTGTAATCTGCACATTCGCTCAAACACAACTACCCGTGAAGCTTAATTAAGAAAATAAACACAAACATAAAATTGCAAATTTTAATGCCTGAATATCAACGCAATATTTTGAACATGCAATGATCAATGGTTCTCCAAAAATCCCAAATGATATGACTAAACTATCTCCCCCTTTTTGTCAAAATTAACAAGGGTCACAAGGAAGACAAATCCTAGAAGTAGGAAGCAACCAACTATATAAATCTTGTAAATTGAACCCAATGAGAATGTAGACTCCACAAGATTATATGAATCAACAGAAATAATCAAGATCTATGCTATTAAGTTCCACAAACTTAGTAAGTGTAATAAAATCACCACCAAGTTCCAAAAATATATGATCTATCAATTGTTCAGATTTTAGATAATAAATCAATGATATCACATATCCTTAGAAATCAAACAATCAACATGTGCAAAAGACTCTTTTTTTTTTTTTTTTTTTTTTTTTTTTTTTTTTTTGTGCTCCATTTTTCTTTTTGCACATTTGCGGCTTTTACGCTTATGGGTAGCCAGCTCTTTCCCTTATTCCCATTTATTTAGATTCAAGGTAGCTTTCGGACAAATCTCAAAGGTAGCCTTTTCCATCTCACCTTTTTCAAAATAACAAATTTTTCTTTCTATTTTAAAAACATTTTCATTCCAAGCTGTTTTGTAAATTACTTTTTATTTTCACTTTTTGGTCTAAAATACATAAAGCAAGTTTAAATTCCAAGATAATGATCAATCATATCAACATTATCTTTGACTAAAATAATGATATCTCAAGTAAATGTACTATCAATGATTCATTTACTATACGAAATAAGTAAGCAAAACCAATTTCATCAATTCATAGCCATTGTATGCTTTCCACAGATAATCCATATGTCACGAAACTCCTTGTGTTCAACATATTCAATCAATATAATTTGCTTAACTTCCCAAAAACATAATCTAGACTCTTAAGATATGCATGAAAATCCTTTCTAGACTATGTCTTTGCAATGCATCAAATCAAGACAACAGACACCAATAGATTTCCTAAAATGAGAAAACTTAGGAGCATCTAATGGTTTAGTGAGAATATTAGCCAAATTCTAATCAGTATGCACTTTTTTCAAAGACACGACATTTTGTTTAACAAGTTCCCTAAGAAAGTGATGTCGAATGTTAATGTGCTTAGTCCTAGAATGCAAAACTGGATTCTTTGAAATATTAATTGTACTAGTATTATCACAAACAATAGAAATAGTACCTTGATCAACTCCATAATCCAAAATATTTGTTTCTTCCAAAGCAATTGTATGCAACAAGTTCCAGCAGCAATGTATTCAGTCTCACACGATGATAAAGATATGCAATTTTGCTTCTTGCTGTACCATGAAACAAGATTAGTACCAACATAGAAACAACCACCTGAAGTACTCTTTCTATCATCCTTATTTCCAGCCCAATCAGCATTAGTATAGCCTGCAATCTCAGAGTTAAACTCAGAAGAATAACGCAATCAATAGTTTAATGTACTATTGACATAATGAATAATGCACTTGACTGCAAGAATGTGTTGTTCTCTAGGATCAGCTTGATACCTAGCACAAACACCTACACTAAATGAAATATCTGGCTTAGTTGCTGCCAAATACAACAAGCTACCAATCATACTCCTATACAAGAAATGATCAACCTTGTTAAGATCAGAGTCTCTATCCAATTTGGATGAAGTACTCATAGGAGTTTGAATACACTCAAGTCTAGCAACATGTGCAAAAGTCTCATCAAAATCAATTCCTTCAACTTGAGAGTATCCTTGTGCAACTAATCTAGCTTTGTTTCTCATTACAAGACCATGCTCATCAAGTTTATTTTAAAAAATCCACTTGGTCCCTATGATATTAACATCACTAGGTCGAGGCACTAACTCCCAAACATCATTCTTCACAAATTGAAGCAATTCTTCTTGCATAGCCATAAGCCAATCATAATTTTGAAGAGCTTCATTAACATTCTTACGTTCAAACCGAGCCGTGTGACATGAGTGAACAATATCATTTACAATGCATGAGTGTCCTACATCATCACGCACTGTACTTCTAGTACCATGCTTATCCCATGGCCCTATCATATTGTCAATTGGGTGACTCAATCTAACTCTAGAACTGCTAGATGTGGGAATATCTAGAGATGGCGCAGGAATTCCTATAGGTTCATCAGTGGTAACCTCTAATTCCTCATCGTCATCTTCTTCACCCTCTTCACTTTCTCAATCTTTATCCTCAACTCTTTCTTTTTCTTGAATTACAAGTTTTTTCATTTCTCCTACAATTTCAAAATTAGTTTATTTTTCATCAAGTTGAGAAGAGATTATCTTAGATTTTGTATCATCAAAAACCACATTTATAGACTCCATGACCACTTTGGTTCTAAGATTAAAAACCCCGTAAGCCCGACTGGTTTGTGAATAACCTAAAAACTGCAATACCCCTAGTTTTGAAAGGGATATAATCAGAATTTTATTATTTATTTTATTGTTTTCAGTATTTATTTTATTATTTTTAGGTGCTTATGTGGCTATGTGTGAATTTTGAATTACGTGATGTGTGAATTGACTGGTTGGTTTAATTTAATTATATGTTTAATTTGTATTTAATTGGCTTACTTGTTTATTTGTTTTATTTTGATCTCATTGTTGTAAGGAATTGTTTAATTAGGAATTAAGTTAAATGAGTTTTTAAAAAACGTTCAGAACTTAGGGTTCTTTGAGAAGTCACGTATGTTGGCCGACGTAGATTTTATATAAGGTTTTCTATGGGCCGACTAGGATTTAGTGTAGGGTTTGAATTGAACCTAGGTCTTGTGTAAACCTATAAATATAGGTATTAAGTTCTGCCTAGGGTTTTAGAACCCTATTCACGACAATGGAGGCAGGGAAGGAATAGAGGAAGATTTCCTAGTTCGCCGGAGAAACTTAGAAGACGACGTTGGGATTTTTGAACCGAAATCTCAAAGGCAAGTTGTAATCCTAACTCTATCCCATTGACTTGTGTTCTTTGCATGTCTAATGCAACTCCAGGAATGTATAAGAATTAAAAGTAAACTGGATTACATGTCTCTGTTATTTTCCACTGAAGGTAGCCATGAGTTATACTGCTTGCTTTATGGTTTTTCGTGTTTAACTCATAAACTAATTCACAGAACTGGATGTATAACGCATGTGAATTGATATAAACAGAGTTAAATTAGCTTGTAATACTGGAACATATTAGTCTGGTTTGCATGTTTAGGTTCGTCTGTAACGGTATATGTTTATATCACTACAAGAAAAAAAGGGCTTCTATGAGGGGCCAAAAACGCCGTGGAAACTCATTCACGGCGCATTCTAGGCCCTCGTGTATGAGGGTTCTGTAAATACTTGATTTTTTTTACGGGGAAAAATCTATCTCGTAGAAAAGTTTTCTATGGCGAATTGTAAGTACCCGTAAATAATCTCACAAGGTACCGTTGCATGCCGTAGAAAAGTTTTCTATGACGAGTTGTAACTACCCATAAATAATTTCATGAGGTACAGAAGCATGCCGTAGAAAAGTTTTCTATGGCAAATTTTAACTACCCGTAAATAATCTCACGAGGCGTTGAAGTATGCCGTAGAAAACTTTTCTACGGCGAATTTTAGGTACCCGTAAATAATATAAACCATTCTCATGACTTGCCATGTATGCCGTAGAAAAGTTATTTAGGAGGATTTTCACTTATTTACGAGATTTCAAGCTCCTCGTAAATAAAATATATATATTTTTTTTATAAATAAAGCACCCTTAATTAATGCCAGTTAATCATCCACTACCTATAATTCACATCACTTTCAGCTATAATTCAAGTCAAAAAAACATACATATTCCATTAAATATATCAAAAAAGTTAAAACATTTTTACAATTCATCATTTATTAATGTGCCAAAACAATTCAACAATTACAATGTTCCAAAATAAGAAATAAATCCATTTGTCAAGAAAATCATCAATTTCTTAACACTTCTGTTAAAAAATTGATAAACCTTCTAACACTTGAGTTTCAGTCTGCACTTGTCAAAAAACCACCTCACTGTACAAAATCCAAGGAAGTAGCTGCAAAATCCACGGTACAAAATCCAGGGAAGTAGTTGCATCACACAAGTCTCAAATTCAGAATGCTAATAAAAAAGAGAAATAGTAAGATTATCATTTATAAATCAAACACAAACATTTTCCTAAGAATTTCTTCCTTAGATCTGCCAAAAATATTTCAAGCAGATAATTTTCCTTAATTGAATACTAGATTTTTGCAAGGATGTATGAGAACATACAATATCATAATCTCTTTATATTCATGAATTCTACAATATCATAATATGTAGCCTCTTTATCTCATGATTATGAGCAAATCTGAAACAAATCTGAAACATTGTAGGTTTTTGATACAACGATTATAAACAAATCTGAAACAAATTCATCATATTCTTCTAATAATTCCCTCAGAGTTCTGCTACAGCCCAGAAAATACTCATATCTTGTATACTCGTTTGTACAAAAGATAATTAAATAGAATGAGGTGGGTAATTTGATTTCTCACTTTTTAACAAAATGGCAATGAATAAGTTAATCAGTCCCATCTAAATTCTAAACAGAGAGGTGAAGTCCTGGAATTTCTCTTTTGCAGAGAGTGTAGTGGGTGGGAAGGAGGGAGTTTGCTGCTTTGAAACAAAGAGGTAGAGCCCTAAAATTTCTATTTTACAGAGAGTGTAGTCCATGTAGGTCCTTAATGACATGCAAGAAATCAGGTTAATCTGCTTTGAAACAGACAGTTGGGGCCTATAATCTCTCTTTTGATAGCTTGTCCCAATAAACTTTCAAAATATAATAGTTTTTTAGAAGAGCTTTTGAGGCTTTAGAACACCTGTTAATTATCTTATATTCACAAAGCATAAATATGAATATTTTAAATTTCTATGTCATTCCTTATAAATTGCCTTATCATTTTGTAAGTAAAACTAACCACTTAGCTCTCTTTCGCCACATAATCCATTAAGAAAGAGCACATAAACACAACATCCAGAATGTCGATTACATATAGCCTTTTACAATTTTCTATCACATTCAAAATGTGAATTACATATATAGCTTTTGACAGGTTTCTGTTATTTTCAAAATCTAGATTCCATCTTGTACTTTATCCTCGTTTCATTTGAAAACTATCAATTAGTCACAATTTTTATTATTTTCAAATATGGATTCCATCTTGTACTTTGTCCTCGTTTGATAAAATCAGTCGTAGTGTGGATAATTCTTTCATGCCATTTAAAAGCAATGTCTAAAAAGTGAAAACTAACAGATGACATCTTATCAAAATCTGAAGGTTCTTAAATGATAATACTCACTCCTCGCATAATGACTCATGGAAAAATAGTTTACACTTATTTGCCTATTCAAATTTGTTTTAAATTTATTTTAATGACTTGCATTATTTATTTTAATGACTTGTTTGTTAAGTCGTGTATATCGGGCTAAAATTTTTATTTCCCTCGCACAATGAGTTATGGAAAAATAAAATTTGCCGCTTTATGCCAACTAATACGGGATCTTAGCACCTAAATCTTCTACCTAATTAAATCGTTTCCATCTTCCTATTGTGTGTAAACCTAAGTTTCAGTTATTATTCATAATCAATTTGCATGGTGACGGAACTCCAGTCGGCAAAGGTCTGCTTTCTCTTCCTCCCTCCCTCCCTCTTTCTCTCTAGGTTTACACTTCAACTACTTAACAACTGATTTTCTTTGTTTTGTTGTTTGGATCTACGCTATGTTAACAAGTCTTTTACACATTAATTATCCATGGATCAATAGAACCGGCCATATATAACTAAGCAATTACCCTCCAGAGAGGGCATGGGAAGTGTTATTTTAAAGGTTTTAGTATAATATTTTTTTAGTCTAAATCCTTTTAGATGTGGGATGCAACATATTTGTGTGCTCAGGAATGATTTTTCATGATAAGGCCTGATTGAAATAAATTATAATTCTGGGATTGGTTCTCATTATCTCTGATGATATGTGGTATGTCTGCTCATTAGTATAGGGTCATAAATAATTAGAATATGAAGAAGTCATTCTCCAATTTACCTACAAATATTGTTTTCCTAGGATTGAAATTTTTTAAATTTAGTTATTACATAAAATGTTATGAATTTATTTAAAGGTATAAACAACATATCAACAACTTCTCCTGCACAACAATCAATCAAAACCTCCACATACGATGATCCCATACTCCCATGCTTTCAACATTTTAAAACAAGAAATAAAAATGGCCTCCACACAGGCCGATGTACCAATAAGGTAATAAAGTTCAAGATACACCGTAAAATTGGTCACTTAAAGGCACGTGACCCCCCTAAGTATGAGTATAAAAAAGCATTACTGAGCAATCATAAAACAAGCATAGTATTTGACCTTTGTTATAGACTAGAATCATAGAAATTCTGATTCTTCTGCTTCTATTGAACTAGGGATAATCAATCCAGTCAGAATGAGACCAAATAACCATAGTGGTGTTAGAATGCAACTTGGGACAATAATCCCCTGTTCGAAGAAAATCAGAGCAGCTGATACTTCAAATATTTTTAGAACATTTGTTTGATATCCAAATTGAGAAAACTTAATTTATTTTGAAATTTGACTTAAGATATTATAGATCTATAAGTTCTTGGAATTTTCAGAGGTCAACAAGTCAGTCAAGTAAAATGTTCAAAAATCAAGTTACAACTAGTGTAAAAAATCAAATAGTAGCTACTGCTGGATTTTTATATAAATACCAATTTGGCCAAAAATCACAGAATTAATTTCAGAAGTACTAGACACATAAAGGAATCAGGGGTTAGACAACTTGAGAAACAAACACAACAAATAAAAAACACAACAAATAAAAAAAATACATTAATATATTTTCTCCAAACCAGTTCCAGCAACAAAGCATTCCATTGCCACAACTTAATAAGGAATCTATTAATGACCTAAAAAATATGATGGAAATGATTAAAAATGTGTCACCTGCAACATTTTCGACTCCAATTCTTGTCGTTTTGCATCTCTCACGCCTTCATCAAAGTACATGGCCTCCAGTTCATATGTATATAAACAAAAACGTAGAGTAATCCAAATCAATTTAGTAAAGGAACGTTTTCTCAAAAAATAAACAAGAAGATTAGAGCAAAAAAATCAACATTTCCAATTTTGATTTCGGAAAAGTATTATAAAGTTTTAGAAAGTTCAAAAGGACAAAAACTGAAACAAGTATAATAGGTCTTAATTTTTTACTTTCACTTGAACTTTCCACCCCTAAAAAGCAGAACCAATACAAGAATGAGCCTAGCATTTTATATCAAATAAAAACTATATTAGTGAGATACATAGAAGTCAAGGGGCAGAGTACAGAGCATACTAAATTATCCATAATTCAGCCCCTTATTTTGTTTCTTCCCAAAATAGGTAAATTTAGATATTACCGATTTGAAACAACAATGTTCATGTCATCAAAAAGATAAAAATAAAAAAGATATAGACGCATAATGGATCTAAAGAATGTCCTCAAAAAGCAACAAAACTATATATACTACATAAACATATATATATATATATATATATATATATAATCAGGGTTTTTATAAACCATTCTCTTTAACCAAATGACAGAATAGAAGGACCAAAACTACCATTTCAATCATTGTATGGCCCACATTAAAGCTAACCTCTATCTTATAAAATGAAATAAAAAGGTTATTCCAAACTTTGGAACTAAAAGCTCTTTGCAATATGTTCCTAACAAGGCCCGTTTTGTTGGAACTGAAACACAGTCTTTACACATCACCAATATGTAGAAGCACAATTAGATTTATAATTTTAAATAATTAAGTAGATATGAACACATAATGTAAATTTAGGGCTTTTTAATAAGAAGCCTTACAGTGAGAGTCTGAATTGGATAAGTTCATTATAAGCATAAAGATATAGCAAAAATGGTTGTAAGATGTGTTGATTAGTCTCAACTATCTAAGACACTGAGACAGTGACTATAAAAAAGCACAACTTGATCAATAGTCTCACAATAGCTAATAAAAAATAAAAACAAACAAACAATTTGTTTTTCAGCAAATTTTAAAATTAGCTGATTGTTTATAACTAAAGATCATAAAAAATTAAAAAGCAAAATCCCATTATGGATAAAGCAGACACTATCCCAAAAGCAGATAACATCTCTTGTAAGTTTCAGATAGCCAAGGGCTAAATTAAAATGCATGATATATAGATTATGCTTATTTTAGAAGCTGTAGCTCAGCTGTCCCAAGCAAATCACACCAAGTACATTATCTTGCTATGCTTAAGATCCTACAAGATTGGAGACAAATAAGCACAACTTGATCAATAGTCTCACAATAGCTAATAAAAAATAAAAACAAACAAACAATTTGTTTTTCAGCAAATTTTAAAATTAGCTGATTGTTTATAACTAAAGATCATAAAAAATTAAAAAGCAAAATCCCATTATGGATAAAGCAGACACTATCCCAAAAGCAGATAACATCTCTTGTAAGTTTCAGCTAGCCAAGGGCTAAATTAAAATGCATGATATATAGATTATGCTTATTTTAGAAGCTGTAGCTCAGCTGTCCCAAGCAAATCACACCAAGTACATTATCTTGCTATGCTTAAGATCCTACAAGATTGGAGACAAATAATTAGGAATTGTGATGGTTCTAGTCGACTTGGTGAATTCCATGTCCATTTTAGATTAATAAATGAATTAGAGGAAAAAATAATCTGAAGCTATTAACTTCCCAACCTTCACATTCACTCTAGAATGATGATGTCTTATTAATTAATTAATTAACTATATACTCCACACATTGCCTAAGGTCCATTGAGATTACAGAATACAGAATTCAAAATAAAAGAAAAATATGAATTTACAAATGACTTTCTCTTCAGCAAAATTCTTAAAAACTAATATCAAACATGAAAAAAATGCATCCATAAATCATATAATATCATTCAAACATTCAAGAATAGATAAACAAATTCATACATCCAATTCCAAAACAAAATAGTCTAGCCGCCCATGCAAGCAGAAGAAAGAAAATAGAGCATCGATAAAATAAAATAAATTAAATCAACAACAAGCTCTCTATCTAATTTCTCCCTTCGATTGTTAGGGCTTTTAGCAATTTTGAAACCTTAACAAATATATAGATATTCGTATCATCACATTAAAAAATCAGCAACCAGCAAAAAATCAACAAATTAAAATGAAATAACAGATGGGTGAGAGTGAAAAGATCAAACCTAAGATGAGACCCGAGAGGTTTACCAATCAATCGGGGGGGGGGGGTGGGGGGGGTTCTCTGAAGATCAAAGAAAGCCCTAGCACTTGAAACTCTTTCAATACAAATTGCATCATTCAAACAGAATAAACCCTGATATTTTTTTTTTTTGATAGGTGAATAAACCTGAAATTTTGAAACTAAAAAAAAAGGTTGTATAATATATAAGCACCTCTGTGTGTCGTAAGAGCATTAGGTTAAAATAATACAATGATCAAGAACTTACAGCTTCGTGAATGTGCATATTTGATTCTTGAGAATCACTCCCAGTAGAATAGCACCCAAGAATATAAAATTGGGGGAAAACTTTCTTATATAGTTTACAAAAAGATCGTTATTATTTCAATGTCGTGGCAAACCCAAGAATTTTTTTTTCAAAAAGCCTCTATATTGAAAAACATCTATATATACGGGGAGGGGGAAAAGAGAATTTAAGAAAGTACTGACAGAGTTCTTGCTTCTTCAAGAGGAAGGTTTAGTCAACGGAATGGGTGGACGCATCATAGATAAGCTCGAAGCTGTTGAAGATCTTGACCATGTGTCCCCTCTTGGCGGAGGCGGAGGCGGTGACATTTCTTCGCCGCCGTCCGAGGCAGCATGAGGCGGTTGGGACTGGGACTTGACCCTCATGTAGTGGTCAGATATGTTCACTATTACAAGCAGCTGGAGCTTGAATGTCAGTCCGCTACTCGACGACGATGCCATCCTCTCCCTCACTCTTCCATTATCAGCTAAATCTAAGATTGAAGAGGCTTACACGCTCCTTGAGAAGAGGAGCAGAGGGGTTGAGTACTCTCGGGTATTCTAGATCAAAGATGAAGAGTGATTTACAATTATAAGTTTATAAAATTTTCACATAAAATGGTGTAGTTTAATAGCCCTTTATAGTTTTTACAAAATAAAATAATCATGTGTATTATGTGTTTGTGCGTATGGTCCCGCCAAACAAGGCACAACAAAAATTTTACTGTTTATTTACAAATCAACGGAGGGAAAAAATGGAGGGAAGGGAAAAAAAAATGGAGGGAAGCGAAAAAGCGGAAGGAGTGCTGGTAAAAGCTTATTTACGGGGCAAAAAAGGCGCCTTAGATGCGAAAACTTTAGGTGCCGTAGATGTGAAATTTATCCACTTATTTACGGGGCAAAAAAGGCTCCTTAGATTTGAAAAATTTTATTGCTTATTTACGGAGCAAAAAAGATGCCTTAGATGTGAAAACTTTTATTTCTTATTTACGGAGCAAAAAAAGCGCCGTAGATGTAAAATTTATCCACGAGCTGTTTAATACACCGTAAGTTCATCTTATTTACTGGGCAAAAAAGGCGCCTCAGATGTGAAAATTTTTATTGCTTATTTACGGAGCAAAAAAGGCGCCGTAGATGTGTGCTTTATCAACGAGGAACATTTATCCCGTTAAAGGTGTACAAATATACCGTAAATGTATCTAAATATTCACGGGCTCTTTAATACGCCGTAAAAATATTTTTCTACGACGATTCTATAAAATCCTCGCGACAACATGTCCTATTATGAGGATTCTTTTAAAAACTCCGTAAATGGTGGTAATCACGACGCAAAATAAAGAAGCCCCGTAAACACTATGTCGTAAAAACCCACTTTTCTTGTAGTGTATGTTTCATTTTTATTTATTTTAAATTCTTTCTTGTAGAACTCTATTCTAATTAGAGTGGATATAGGGTGGTTTTTACAAAATCTGGGACATTGAAACTTAGTTTTACTCAGTAAAATCAATAGAGCTGAGGACTGATCAAACTAGACGTCACCGGAGAAGACGTAGTTGAAGAGAAGAACAGAGAGGAGGGGAGGAGGTTGGAGGCGGCTCCATGAAAACATGGAGCCAACTTAAAGTGCCTTAGAGGTGGCTCCAAGTGGTTTGTAGCCGGCTCCATCTTGGTTAGAGGCAGCTCCAACTTGTTTGGAGTAGCCTTTCTTCAATTCTTCAGTTTTTTGGGTTTTTGGGCGACTGTTTGGGCTGTGGTGCTCGGATTTTGGGATTTTTAAGTTCTGGTAGGAGCTGTATTGAGGTGCTTTGAGACGATCTAACTCCATATTATAAATTCTAAGAGTTGATTACTATGTATTAAAACACCATTGTTCAGGGTGATACAGAACATAAATCAGTATATGAAAATCCGGATACTGTCATTGGAGATGAAGAGTTTAATTGTTTAAAACCTAATTTAGCAGATTACTATGGATGGTTACAACATGTTAATCATGGAACAGTGGTAGGAATAAGTACGCTTAAACTTTAACTATTGCTAGCTGCGGATTAATTGACGTATAGAATTTAACTTGTTTCAGTTAGTGTTGGTTTGGTATAAAAGTAAGCATGTGAATTGGTATATTCTGTTGTGTTATCTTGGAGTTAAATTGATATTTATATGTATAACATAAATAATCAATTACTGAAACTTAGTTACTCAGTTATGCTTAATGGGAACCTAGTTGCTAAATATACAGTATTGTGTCGTATAAACTTACTGAATATCTTGGAATAGTTTAAAGTGAGCATGTTAATTCTGATAATGTTATTATTATACACATAGTGGATTACAGAATGGATTATACATATTCTCCGTATTTTAATCTTATTGGAGAATCATTTTACCGGATGGAAAGAACTAAATTGCTTAAATTAATTTTGCAATTGTTTGAACTATAACATGATTATAAAACTTATTTAAATGCATGATAGAGTTGTTGATTTATTAAAACTAATCTATGCATGCTTTGGATGCTGGTTGTTGAACTATTAAACCATTTCTTGCAATTACATGGTTTAGATCTTGTATTTAAATTGCTGAAACTTTAATCACTTTTTTGCAATGATATGGATATTTGGTTTTGGACTGTAAATTACTTGCTTATTATTTATATGTTATAATTTACATGGATATGGAGGACTGTATGCACCGGTATGGAACGGTGACATACTAGGTATAGTTTAGCTCAAAACGCTAATTCCTACCTTATGGATTTTAATTGGTGAACAACTTTACCTGTTCTATCAATTATATGGATTTTGTGGATTGTATGCACCGGTATGGGATGGTGGTGTACTAGGGACAGACTGATTCAAAATACCCAGTCCTACCTATTTTGGAATAAGGGTATGAATTATAAAAAAACATAATTCTCCTTATATTTAAGTCTGTGCGGTGGAATAAGATGAACGACTTATTGGATCTCTTATATAAGTCTATGCGGTTGAATAAGCTGAACGATTTATTGGATTTCTTATGGATGGATATGAATGGATTTTAAATATATTTTTATGGTACCACGAGATGAGCTTGAGTCTCAGACTCGTTGGTTAGGGTTCGTATATGCAGTAGGATGCGTAGCTACATATGAGAGGTTGAGGTGTACCCTATTAGGTCTAGGTACTCATGCCCACCTATGGGTGCATTTTCGCATGTTGCCTTCTATTCAGGTTGAGACCCTCTCCATAGTCCAGTGAGAGTCCTGTAATGTGAATATACATACGTACGGACTATTAGCTATTGTTGAGTTGGTTATAATGTACATGCGTATCGAGTCTCTGCTTGGATTGTAGTAGGTTAGAACTTGTTCGTGGGCCTGACCCACCTCTATTTTTCAGGTACTCGTCAGTTCCAGACTTAGACTTGATGGTGCTGAGCAGAGACTACTACTCACTCTTCCGACGATGTAGGACTTTTCTCCATGGTTTACTCTGGATGTTCTTAAAGTAGTTTTCATTTCAGTTTGAATTATTATTAGGGGTCCATTAGAGATGGATTCCCGAGATGTATTAAAATTGGAGAAGTTGGATGTATCAGATTAATTCTTTACTTATAAAATTTTGTTCTGAGGTTTTTAACGTTTGGATTATTGTTCTAGATTCTTTTCAGGAATTTATTTATTCCTGTTTTCATAATTGTATTCTGTGTTCGTTTGTTGCTAATTGGTTTGATATCCTTGGGTAATCAAGCGTGGGCCTGGCCAACCCGCATCCGGAGATCCGGGGGTATCACAGTTGGTATCAGAGCTAGGTTCTAGTGTCCTTAGGAGTGTTTTCGTTATAAGACTTCCGCGTTGCATCTCTTAAATACTTAGAGCCATATTAGGATTCTTTGTACTCTATTTATGGTTCGTTAGGAGGAGTTGATGTCAATTGAATTCTGTAGATACAAAATAGTTGACACTAGGAGGAGGATGGGGTTTATGGCGAAAGCGATACGGACCCAAAGGCATAAAGGAGTACGTTGTCGAGTACTTTGTCAGAAGCAAAACTCAGGATCGAAGGTTTATTTCTAAGGTTGGCATTACTTAGAAAGTATACGCCAAAAACGGATCAGGGTGTAGGTGTTAGGCTACCACATGTCGGGGCCAACACAACTTCAGTTGTTCTTAAAAAGGAAACAAACGAGGAGTAGGATTCTAAAAAGGATCCTAAGGGAGGAGATTTCTCCACATCCAAGAATGGGGATACTGAGTCTTGAAGGTGAAGGATTACACGAGGGTGATTTCGTTCGCTAGTGGTATAGTGAATGATACTGGTAGAGTTGGTGTGAATAAACATACATATAGTTAAAGTTTCATATCATCTCTTCGGAAGTTATTTAAAAAGTACTCGTTTGGGGGTCGGAATTTGGTGGAGTTCTTATCAGAATGAAGACAAGATTATTATATCACGCTTCGGAGGATATGGGGATAGGGTTGCAATGTTCTAGGTTACTTTGTAAAGCCACGTTAGATGGTTTGCATTCCGCACATAAGGAGTATGATGGTTAAGACTTTGGATATTTGCTTAAGCAAACGATTGTGCAGTTAAGCTATGGTTAATGGATAAGTTTCAAAGTTGGATAATTACCAATGAAACTATGGAACGAACTTTTGAGAAATTGAGTTCAAAGGAGGTTTTCTTCTCTAGAATGGAGGATGTCTTAAGTAGAATTATATTTTAGTTGTTTTGTTGAATTGTGTGTATCTACGTATTTCATTTTTGTGATTTTGTGTTGCATTTT